GTATCAACACAATCATAGCTAACAATAATAACAACACAATCAGAGTATAGAATATACGCAGACGTTACAAAAAAAATAACCTTTTTCTTGATTAAATTGTTTTTTTCCTCATATACCCTCGTATTAAAAACAACATTATGTATTCGAAAGAGCGATAACAAAATAACAAGATATAACAAATAAAGATTAAAAAAAACTTACATGTTATGGCAATGAATGCAAATAAAAAGCAAAGAAAAAAACTCCATTTTTTCTTTGTATTAGAACAAAGAGGAGAAGTAGAGTCCAAAAGTGGAGCTTCCAAATTATGTTTCTCCATACCTCTAAAATTCTATGGCTAAACAAAGATATAATAAATGAAGGGAAAGTTGCATAAAACTTTCAAATACACTCCACTTTTGTTTATAGTGTGGGACCTTTGTTAGTTGATCATGACTTTCATGTTTTTAGTGGGGCCAACATAAAAGTTAGGAATCTCTTCTCTTTTCTTTTTTTTTTTAAAAAAAAAATGTACAACTATCCCCTCAATCTATGTCCGAAATCCTAAAGACACACTTATACTATACTAAGGTTCTATTACCCCTGAAACTTATTTTATAAGTAATTTTCTACCCCTTTTTAGCTTACGTAGCACTAGTTTGAAAAAAAAGTCAACCATCATTGGACTCACAAGATAGTGCCACGTAGGCTAAAAAGGGATAAAAAATTATTAATAAAATAAGTTCAGGGGTAATAGGACCTTAGTATAGTATAAGTGTGTCTCTGAGATTTCAGGCATAGGTTGAGGAGGTACTTGGACATTATCCCAAAAAAAAATTATTAGAGCTGTTAAAATGGATTGTACTTGTTAAGTCGGTTTAAATTAATCCTTGAATTAAATGAGGTAGGACTTAATATTTTTGGCATATTTAGAAACGAGGTATTTTAGTTCAGTTTCAATTGATTCGCTACCTTCGTAGGCCTAACTCGCAAGTCTCAGTGGCCAACCAGACCGTGAGATATCAATATTTAAAATATATTTTTAATAGTTTTTTATTTGTAAAATTTTTATAAATAAATATTCTAAAAGATAAAAAATCAAGTCTTTTAAATTAGCTAGTTTTTTTTAGTGGGAGAAATGGTGGAATGATCACACATTTTTCTGATAAATCTTACGACTTCAAAATTATGAATTTGTAAATAAAATTTTAAAAAATATATATATATGTGTGTGTGTTGTTAAAAGAATTATAAAACTTTGATTTCAAGTGAATAATAACAAATTAAATTGTGTCACTAAAGTAAAATAAGAGTATCAAAATTAAATAACTTTTTTTTTATCTCTATATGGAATCAAAGTTGTTCACATTTAATAATTAAATATAAAACACATGTTATGGACTTTCCACTTTTGCATAGTTATTAAACATTATTTTTTATAATAATAATAAGTTATGTTTATACAGCTATCACTATGAAGATTCAGTTTGTACTAAATTAATCCTCTAATAATTATCCATTGACATAATTTAAACTTATTTTAGATTGTCCAATTATCATAACAAGCTGTATTGATTTTATTTATTATTAGCATTTTTAGTCCCCCAAAAATCAATAACTGAAGCATTGATATGTTATTTTTTTTAATGAGATTCAAATATATTGTCACGTAGTTTATTTCAATCCAACAGCATATGTTTTATCTCTTTTAGAATATAATAATCGAACAACGTCGTATAACTTAAATATTTTCGAATTAATTGCAAAGTCCGAAATTCTATCAAAAGAACAAATTCCTTCTAGATAAAAAAATTGCATTATTTTGTATAACAAAATTAGGTGAAGACTTAAAAATATTTAAAGTTCTCTTTCACAATACTAACTTTAGTACATAAAATAATATTAGTACTTTTTTTCCCACTCTATATTTTATTATACATTTCTTTTCTTGTACTCAAAACAAAGTGACAATATTAGGTCACACATCATTTTTAAGAAATATTAATATTAAAATGTTGCTCCAACAACTTTCAATTAATTTAAGTCAATATAATCCCTCAAATTGTGAATATTTCAATAATTTAGCAAACTTTTTAAGTGTTAAATATTCAATATAGTTGATATTTTATGCTAATTTTTCTTTGATATCTCCCTATATGAGGTGATTTATAGTTCTAAAAGTAATACTAACCCCATAATTTTCTTATTTAAAGAGACCAAAAAATATAATTATCAATAATTAAGGAAATAAAAGTATAATGATCTCTTGATTATTTTTTTAATCAGAAAAGTGGAATAAAATAATGTCAAATTTAATGGAAGGATTAAGAAATTAAAGATTGTGTTTGGGATTAGATATATACTATGTATGATTAACAATATATAAATTTAATTTTAAAATGTCTCAACTTATTCCATATAGCGACAGATGAATTAATAATTTAGGTTAATGTCATTTTTATTTGATTTTAGTGAAAACGACGATGAATGAATCTTTATAGTATACGCAAATATAAGTGATTGGCCAATATTGTCCTTTTTTTCCCAAAAACATATCTCCACAATTTAATTTTATTAAACTATTGGAATTCTTTTGTTATATTATATTAAGCAGCGATAATAAATATCTATATTTATAATTATTATTACGTGTAAAAACAGCTAAAGGTTTTATGACTTTTTGATATAATGATATTAACTTAATTGCTGTTAAATAATTTACAATAATAAATATTTTAGCTAAAAGAAATATAATCATTAAATATTATTTTTATTACAGTGTATATAGTATTGTAGTCATAGAATTTAACGAAAATAACCATTTTCGAATTAAACTAGATCTATATATGAAATATTAGTAATATTGATCTACGTAAATATATATTTATAATCATCATTTTAACTCAAAACCCTTTTCAATTTTCACTATATAAAAAAAAATGGAATTAGCGACTAATACGTTGCTAATCGTTGTTAAATTCTTGGTAGTTAACAAAATTTTCTCATAATATGTCTTTAATCATTAAATAAAATAAGTAATAAATGTTATTGTTTAATTATAAAATTAATTTTATTTATTTTGTTTTGTTAGTTGGAGATAACTTAGATGACATTTATGTTTTGGTGAAAACGACAAAGGAAGAATCTATATGTAATCCAATAAAAAATTGTTAGGCTTTGTTTTTTATTTTTGTTTTATGATCTTATTATTTGTTATTTCTTATATTTTTATCTAAATATTTTGTTCCTGACTTCTTGTATATCATTTTTATTTTTATTTTAAAATATTTTATTTAAATCAATAGTCTATCGAAAAATTATTTTTACTTTGATAAAATAAGAATAAGTCTGTATATAAATATATGTTATTCTTATCAGATTTTACTCGTATAAATACATAAGCAACATATTATTAATTGTAATATATTTGTAGGACGCAAATATATGTGATTGGCCAACTTTATACTTTTTTTGTCAAAAATATCTCCACATATGGTCATAATTTGTATATGAATAATATTTGGTCACATCACACATTTTATAGTTTGGACAAAATCACCATGAAGTTGCCCACATCCATCAAAAAATGAAAATAAATAAATTAGGTTATTAAATATTGAGTTGTTAAATTCAAACAGGTTAAATCAATTAAATTAATAAATAGATAGATTATAGATTCGCCCCAAAAGTTATTTCGATTAAGTCAACATGGCAAATTGATTATATATAACATATTAAATTTCTCGTTGGTAGCTTTGAGCTATACATTTTTAGTACAAATTAGCTCAACGTTTAGATTAATGGAATAAAACATATCAAAATGAACTGATTTAACAAATAAAAAATATTTTATTAATCCAAAAGAAAAGTAACTCAATTTCAAAAGTTAGGCACGATAGCCATTGACGAAGAAGGAGAGGTTAGGCATCTTATTTGAATAGCTAGACTAACTTTGTCACCCATAGAGGCTTAGACACTATTAATTACAAGCTGGAAAATTTTATCACACGCACGTGACAAATGATCATAATCTTGATGTCCAATATATTTTTTCTGATAAAAATTTACTCGCATTTGATATTACACTAAATTCGAGACTTAAGATAAACGCATGATACTAACTGCAGCTCTATTACATTGTCAACACCAAAGGATGTTGCGTAGTAGTGAGGTTGATTCTTCCTTACAAAGAGGTCTCGAGTTCAAGTTTTGATTTTTAAAATGGGGAGGTTTAACTTCTATCCGACACAACTTAGAATCATTCAGACTCCGATAAAAGTATCGGACACAGTATAAAAATAAAATAAAAAACTCTATTAAGTCTCAACTATTTATTTTACTTTAATTCTTACCAAATTCTCCACTTTGGGCCTGACTAGCTCAGAACCAGCCCAGTTAAGTTTGGGTCAAATGGGCTTAGTTTGGTTTCTAATTGGGCCCGAGTTTAACTGGGCTGATTATAGTGGATTGGGCCTAGGATTTGAAGCAACACAATTATTGAATTTTAAGAGTAGGAATATAATGTAATTTTATCGTTACGCTATGACATACTTAATATTTTTACGCCTATCATTAGAGTAGGGGTATGCATTAATCAGTTTGATTCGGATTTGTGCATTATTAATTTGATTTCTCGATTCTTTTATTTGTAAACATCGTAAATAATCAAAACAAATAAAATAACTATCATGGACTTTAGTCATTAACGATTTATTTTAACAGATAAAAAAAGTAAACATTAATATACTATGTTTGCTATCTATTTTTTTGAATCTTCCATGTACTATTAAAAAAGTTATTTAATTTAACAGATTATATATAAGACCGTAAAATCTCAATAGAATTTATTTGTGAATGAAACGAAAGAAATACATTTCCAAAAAAAATTAGAAAATTACAATTCGTAAAGATAAATATTTTAATTTAATAATCAACGTAAATGAGTATGAAATATAGCTAAAAATATTTTTTTCTCTATAATTAAAAATAACAATTAATTATTATATATTTCTACTCTGCCACCATGGATTCAATTACCACCTCAGCTTTGTTGGAAAATACTGCATTACATTAACAAAAAAATTGTTAATAAAATTATCGAGTTATTAATTTTTCAATTTTATAAGTTATTTTTTAGGTAATTTGATATCTATCGAAAAAACACTTTACCTTTTCGATAAGAGAGAGATAGTATGGCTTGACTTTTTCCACATCAATTCGAACTTTACTCTTGCTATATAAATCATATTTACTGCATTTAAATTTGTAAATCATAAGAAAAAAATTGTTCAAAATAAATATATAATTAATAAAATTAAAATAAAAAATAATAATTACTTAAAAATGTTGAGCCACTTCATGTTCTCTTTGTCCTCCTCATTCATCAAGTGTGTATATGCTCCTGATCTATGTAATGCTATAAAAAAATATTTTTAAAAATAAAGTTAGTTCACATTAATAAATCAGAATATCAAGAATAAATTTAAAAATATTTAAATTCAACAATATACTGATGATGTAAAAAAATATTTCTATAATTATATCACTCAAAAGATAATTACATCTAACTGAACGCATTTCAATTTATTTACATAAATCTTTCTCTTTTAGCGCACCTTTAGACTCAGGGGCGGAGCTAACGTGTCTTGAGGTGGTTCATTCGAACACCCTTACGCGAAAAATATTTCTATATATACATGATTAAAATTATTTTTTAAATATATATAATAGATGTCGAACCCCCTTCGACTAGTCCATATGTTTACTCCTTCGAATTTTAAACCCCCTTATTGAAAATTCTGACTCCACCATTGCTTAGACTAATAAAATATTAGACTATTTTCTCATTTTTAGAACCGACCAGAATTTTCAGTTTGCTCAAGAGTAAAATTTCAATCGCGATATGATTTAACAGATTCATATATTGCAAGAATTTCTAATCCCTTCCCCCACCTTTCAATTGCGATATGATTTAACAGATTCATATATTGCAAGTATTTCTAATCCCTTCCCCCCACCCTTACAATGAATCTTTTATGACTAAAATTTAAATTAATCGAGTCAGTAAATATCGATACGAAAATTTAAAAAAATCTTACCATAGAAAGAGTGGTAACGTATGACAAATAAAGCAGCAGAAGGAAGAGTAGTTTTATTTTCCTTTGCAATTAAATACATATAATCATCATGTCCCCATGACATAACAACTTTGTCAAGTCCACAACCTTCTTCATATACACCATTTTTTGTATTATAAATATTGTTGTTGATGTCTGGATTTTCCTTAAAATACTGCATGATAAAAAGAAAAATAATTCAAAAAAAATATCGACGAATGTATAATACATGTATAATTCATGTCATATACATAATTGTTATGTATAATTAGTGTATAATTAGTGTATTATCTATGTATATCAGCTAGAAAAAGTAAAGGGTGCAAGAGGGTTAATCAATTTTTTTTTGACGAAAATTATACTGTATATATAAAGTCGTAATTTCTTTTATGTCCTTTGATTTTCTATATCTATTTACCTTCTTCTTTTTTTTTAATTTTTAGAGTATAATAAAAATTCTAATTCCGATACTATAATATCAACAAAAGTATTTGGTAGTATACCTTGTGGTGAACAATTGATTCATCAAAAGCACAACCAAGAGGAAATGTGTCTCCAACAACAGCCCATTGAGGAAGCCCTCCAAAACTTGGATGAAGAAGTACTTTACCTAGGTCTACGGTTCAAAATAAAAATCGAATTTAAATTATGCATACTGATGATAATAACATATTTAATAAAATTTTATAAGTGAAATCTGAGAAAAATAACACGTATGCACTCTAAATCCTATCTTACGAGGATAAAAAAAGTTATTTTTCAATATAGCTTCAGCTCAAATAAATAAATACAAAACAAAAAGGAATATAAGCCAACTGTATATTTTGAATTATCAACTATTATTACGCAATATATATAAGAAGTACTACTAATTAAAACTTTATATTTTGAACTCGCTACATAAATTGAAACAGAAAAAATACCGTGAATGAGGCCGGTCAAATGAAGCCAATCTTCATTTGGATAATCTTTTCTAATAGCTTCAGCAGTTTGTAACAAATGCTCAATTTGTGGTTCATCCAAATCAGGATCACTATCATCAACTACATCATTCAAAAGTTCACAACAATCCCAAATACTCATTTCAATTTTGTTCAATTTTCCATATTCTTTTCTCATTTTTTTCACCTATAATTTTACAAAAAAAAATAAATCAAAATTCATTATGTAAATCATGGTTAAATAAACAACACCGTTTAATGAAAAGATGAATTTTTTTGTTACTTCTGGATCAAGAATAATATAGTATTACATGAAAATATATACAACGATTTCAAACATCATAAATAAGATGGTTTAATAAAGTAAGAAAAGGTCATGAAAAACAACGCTTCAAATTTCTCTATAACAATCAAATACTTTTTAGAATCAATTTTTATGTTATATTACATCATATATATTTATCAAATAAACGACATAGTTCAATAAAGTAAGAAAAGGTCATGGAAAACAACGCTTCAAATTTTTCTATAACAATCAAATACTTTTTAGAATCAATTTTTATGTTATATTATATCATATATCATATGTATTTATCAAAATAAACGACATCGTTATAAAAAGAAGGCATTGAACTTACATAGTCATATGTTTGATTAATGTGTTGAACCCTATAAAATTCTTCCACTGATTTTTGTCTCTCACTTTCTACATTATAATCCCTACAAAAAACATATAACTTAAAAAAATTAGGTTCCACTTAAATCAAATCATTTTGAGTTTTAATATATAATTTAAACTCGAATCAAAGATCTCTTATTAAAAATGAACGATAAAATAATAGAAGTACCTAAATGATTGACCAAATGCATTTATGTCTGGCACTTCAAATATTTCATCTTGAGAAGACAATGTCTTTGGTACCATAAATCCACCATCCAAAATAAGTTCATTGGCATTGAATGAGACTTTTTTCTCCTCCACTTGTGATCCTATCAAATTTTTAAAAGAAAAAAAAATCCATATATAATATTAATAAAAAATATATACAGTCAAATTTTTCTATAACGATTACTATTTATAATATTTTGTTAATTAATATTTTTCGCGATATGTTACATTTTTCTATATGATATTTCGCTCTAGAAACAAAAAGGTATCAAAACAACAATAGCGTTCGGAGAGATTTGATTATAGATGTTATTGACTGAAATGTGTCTAAAGTATTAAAATTTATTCAGTCAAATCTCTTTATAACCGTGAAGGATTTGTGATTTATTGAGAGGGGGGGGGGGAGGGGAGTCCCCAGACGTAGCTCCAGTGGCAAAAAGTGAAGAATTTGTGATTTAGGTCACTATTCAAGTCTCACGCCATGCAAAATGGAGCCTGAAATTTAAATGGGAAAGAGTAGAGGGACGGACCCATTTTTCACCGAATTTTAAAGATTGCGATTGATCCGAAGGACGGGTCACAGACTGATTTTTAAATAAAAAGTATTGAACCATAAAAACTCTATTATTTTTGGATAATTCGAACAACACATCCAAAAACTAAACATCATTTCATTCATAATATAAATTCATATAATTCTTTAAAAAATAAAAAAGTAGTAAGGATTATTATAACATACCAAATTCAGGCTGCTCAATGAGAATAGTCATTTTCTCACAAAATAATAATAAAATAAAATCAACAAAAATTAACAAATTAGATTTTGCTTGTGTTATTGTATGATGTGAATGATATTGAAAAAGAATTTATGGGTATTTATAGTGTCCAAATTAAAATTGTCCTTAGCATGAAATTTAGAATATTTTAGAGTCCTGAAAAGAAACCATTTAATCAGTGGAGTCCTCAAAAGAAAATCTAGCAACTCCTTAAAATTTCCAAATTTAGATATTTTAAAATCTTTGAGTCCTTAACTGAAAAAATAAATAAATAAAAGTTATTATAAATATTATATTATAATATCCCTAATACCCGTTCAAAATATCAACTATTTACGTCACCGTCATTTCATTCACTCGTTTCACAAGCGCGTGTTGGAACAACCAAACATCGTATTCTCTGTTTTAATTTACGTGTCTTATATTTATATTAATACGTACGATTCACCAATAAGAATTGTGGTAGAATGATAAATATTCCTTCATCCATAATCAGAGGTTTCAAATTCGAGTACCGTAGGTACATAATCGTCTTTATTACAGAGCGTCTTTACCTCAAACCAGCAGGGGCAGAGTCACTTTTGACGGAAAATTATACTATTTATACATGGTTAAGATAATATTTTATGCATATATAGTAGATGTCGAACACCATTCGACTACTCCGTGTGTTTATTTCTACAAATTTTGAACCCCTTAATGAGAATTTTGACTCTGCCTCCGCCACTGCTAACCAATAACCTTCCAATGTTAGATTTAACGGACATCGGTGGAAAAAAATATCGTATTGACATTTTGTTATTGATTAGTATTCACGTATACATTTTGAAATGATGTACTTAATTGAACTGAGACATTCTTTTTACTTGTAGATTATTAGACTCCAAAGTCGTTTAGTTTTCGCTCGAGCTGAAATAATAGTACTACATTAACACATGTACTATTCTGAAGTCGAGCATATTTGAATATGTGAATTTTTTTAATTTCATGTTAAAGCTTCGTTAGTAAGAAGAAATGTGAGGTGATTTGCTAGCGATAAAAATATGAACAGGTTAAACGTCCCCGTCTTTTCTCTTGTTGTTGTTACACGCGAGTTGGTATGAGAGTAGGGAAGGTTGAGTATGAGTCAACATTACGTGTATAGATAATCTTTATTTTATTGAAAATATTAAGATAAATGACTAGGAACCAAGTCATTTCCTACAAATTTTTTGAATTAAATTCTAAGTCTCTGAGCTGTGAATTTTAATTTATTTTATTTTATCAAAGACTAAAAACAAAATCATCCATGCTGTAGCCACGTCATCACACATTAGACAAAAAAGAAATTGTATGTGATTAAAGGCGGAGCTAATAGTTCGAATATGAATCTGGTCGAATTAGATATTTTTTTTTGTTTATATTGTGTTTGGTTTTGAATTATACTTATTAAGAATAGTAGTGAAGTCAAAAATTTATCGAGGATATTTAAGATTATATATGTATATGTATGAAAAATATATATTACTTTATCTTATCTTATCCTTTCTTTTTTAGTCCATTTTAAAAAGAGTATGTCTTATTATAATTATAAATAGTTTTATTTTAAAGTGCTCATTTTACTATTAATAAAAATGTGTCACACAAACATCAATAAATTATCTTAGATAATAATTTTTTTTAAAAAAATCTTATATATCGTATCAAAATAAAACAATGCCACGAAAAGAGTATAATTTTTCGACTGACCACTTGTTACTACATTGATTAGGGGTACTCATATAAAGTATTAGAAGTTAAATTTTGTCAAAAATAACTTCAAATGTCATATATTACGAAGTTATCCAAAATAAATATGCGTATAAATAATTTTTAAAAAATACAAATTAAATAACGACATCACTCCACTAGTTATATAAATCATATTAAATAATAAATACAAAGATAGTGATTGATCGAATCCAAGTTGTAAAATCACCTAGTTGCAAAGTCCACAATTTAAGCATATTTTTTATATGCAAAAGATAACCGACATCTCTTGTGGTATTCATATTTTTATCAAATTTTTAATTTGTGACTATAGTTTTACGAAATCTTGATATTCAGTTTCCTAATTAATTTGGTTTCTTCTATAAATTTAGAATTTGTATAACATGGTTCTTGATTGTATAATTATAAAATTTGTATATGTTTACCCTGGCTAAATATATACAATTTATAATATGGAGAAGTTTTGAAAAGTTCCTAAATGTACAAAAATATATTTGTATATTCGAAAAACGAAAGATACAAACAACAACCTCCGTAGCAAACAAAACTATAAATATAGAGTGTAATTACCGAAATTATAAATATCGAGAAAACATTCAGTTTTTTCCCTCCAAAAATTGAATCAAATATGTATAATATCAACAATTTATCACATGTCCTAATGCTCAACGGTCACATCATAATTCAAGCGCATGAGTAAAATTTACTAACAAATTTAAGAAACTTTCGTATAACAAATATTAACGTTCAAATGAAAATAACAAAGATAATCAAGGGTACTAAAATCTGGGCTCATATCCATAACAAAAATCTGGGCCTCAAAGAGTACTATAATTTGGACACTCAAACTATCAAATATTGGCCCAAGATGATTTTGGGCCTTTGGATCATTAGTAACTCACCAATGAATTCGGTTAGGTTTACAGACGTTGATTGGGCTGGATCATTACTCACTCGACGATCTCTATTAGTCTCATTGCATTGATCGAACTTGGACACCATATTAGATTCATCAAATATATACATGCCATCGAATAAGTAATCATCGCATGATAAATTCTAAACAGAATAAATGAAATGAGTATGATAAAATATCGAGCTCAAAATTTATAATTTCACGACTTCTCTAAGATACAGATTTTGCATGAATTTCTCTTATTTCGAATTGATCTTTAATTTTTGCTCCTCAAATTCGTAATCTATGAATACATGTCTTCTTAAGATATAACAATGAGAAAATAGCCATTTTGTGGAAATGTCATAATTTGCAAATGTTAAATGTTAAATTACATGTTATAATATTTTTTTTCATCTATAAGGTTGGATAATATATGAAATAAATATTAACTCTAGATTTAATATTACTTGAAAAAAGTAATTCTTTCTTATTCGCATGTCGTATTATCTGTCGTTGCTATTGTCATATTCTACTTTATTTTAGCCTAAATTTTTTACTAGATATGCTTTATTTACACGTTTGAATTAAAAATTTTATCGAAAATAGTCTCACATGAGCAAAACTACGTACACGTAATCCTTCCGTCATTTTAAGCGATTACACTAGATATATTGTTGTTTAGAATAAAATTTATATAATAACATAAAAATAAATATTTGTGCAAATTAGCCAATGTTTGATGTGATAGTTGATTATGATTATTTGAGTTATTGAATATGACATTAAAAGGTAGCTATTTAACTCTTTAGACAAAAGTAATGATATGTTTGTTTGAATAATTATATTTTTATATTATATAACATTAATTCAACGGTTAATATTTCATGCAATATTATCTTAATGGATTTTTTGCTTGCTTTAATTATGTCACATCTTATCATTGAATTTTAGGTTCTATTTATCAAACCAAAATAAGACATCACAAAAGCTAAATGACATAGTGGTTGTGTTACAAAATTGTTATTTATCAAATACACCTTTAAGTATTTATGGACATGATAAAATAACCCACAAGTTCCTTCAATAACATATAATAAAATTGAAACGATAAAAAAAAAATTAATTTATGTTAGTTCGAGTGCTATTGAGTCTGTTCATTTACTAACTCGATTTTGAATACATACATTTTATTAAAATTAAATTGATTCAAATTAAATGTGTCATTCAAATTATTCGTAAAAAACTGTATAAGCAATTTTATCTAACACTTTATTGATGTATTTTTGAAAAATAGTAATGAAATTTTAAACTATTGAAACTCCAAGAGTTTTCTTCGTGCGTGAATAATTCTTTATGTAATTCTTAAATATAATTATTGATTCATTTTTTTCGATTAAACTTATTTTAATTCAGTTAAAAATTAATTAAATTTAATCATTTGACACGTCAAAATACAAATTTTTATTAAAATTTTTCTTCAATTGCTTGTTATTATCACCACCATCATCGTCAATGAAACACCATCACAATCATTCAAATAAAGTGACCACTTTTACCAAAGAAGGTAATGGAAATTTCATTTTCATTTTACCAAAATTCCATCTATCTTTTATCAATTATAAGAGGATCATAAAAAATTGAACAAATAACAATAATAATAATAATAAATGACTATAATTAACAAAAAAAATTAACAAAAATCTACAATAAATGGTCAATTAATTATTGACTCGTTCATAAATTATCTAGCTAATAAATAAATTATAATCCTACCAATTTAATAATTAATTTATAAGTTTTAACCCCTAACAAAAATCTCCTTTTCATTTAGTACGACCATAATATTAAATAAAAGTATGTTATTTTAAAAATATTTTAACAAATTTTTTTATGATTCAATTTAAATCTATTTATTTTTTATAAGGTAAAAAAAGCTAATAAATGACGAGTTAATAATTAACCAAAACTTAATTAAATCAAATAAATTATATTTTTATGATTTAATTTTATCGATGGAAGTTAGATATTTATGAAATTATTATTAATATAAAGTTGTGTGAGAATATACACGTGTAAGCATATAGTACAAATAAAAAAAAAGTGGTACAAAATTAGATTTTATTATTGTTCCCTACTATAGTGGCATTGCCTTAAACATAACTCGTGGCGGGGTATCACGTGATTTATCTCCCCACCTATTTTTATTTTCTTTTGACCTTGACTATTTCCTAACCACCTTTTTGTTGAAGATCGAGCGACGACAGTGGCGGAATTAGAATTTTTTTTTAACTATAGAGATAGTGCGGCGGAGGCGAGAGTAGTGGTGAATCAAAGTTTTTACTTTTTCGATTTT